CCCTTAATTTATCAGACAATCTTGCCATTTCATCCCTAGACCTAAAACACCTCATATACAATGCCAAGTGTTCTTCTCAGTCTTCATTGTTTTCAATGAAGATGTGTGTTGTCTTTCAGCGCTTTGATGTGTTAATTCTCAAGCATACCCACATTCATTCCCTATCTTGGGGTTTAGTAGCAAATTGAAGCTCCCAGGAATCCAGGTCAGGCTCCCAGGTCACAAGAGCACATGGTTCAGTGACTGTAGTTTTTTTGGTTGCAAAGTTAAAAGTCGTTGGTCCAGATTCTATTTTATAACAGTCATTCATATAGCTGGGAACCTGGTCTCTTTGAAGGCAGCAGAAATCAGTGTAGTAGGCAGGGATTTAACAGAAGGAGGGTAGGGTATGGAAGGGGAATTACTCTGTTGAGAAGAAAATGCATTTCTATTTCTATGTTAAGATACACTTCCTTCAGGGAATGGTGGTGTATGCTTGTAATCCCAGCTTTTTTTGGAGGCTGAGGCAGGGGGATTGCCACAAGTTCAGGACCAGCCATGGCTATCTAGCAAGACCCTTTCAGGAAAAAAAAAAGTTTGCTTCCTAAAACCAGCCTTATTTTCAGGGATGAAGAGCTCTTTGTAGGACAGGAGGGAAATTAAGGAGATCTTTAATAGACAGTCTGGTTGACTTGTGGCCAAAGCATAGTCTTGTGTTTATTTGTCAGGACTGATTATAACCTGCTTTGGCCTGGACAAGTTGCTTTGACCCTGCTGCCCTGGCTCATTCAAGACACTTAAGTGTTTACCTTTGGGCATGGAGTATATGATCCGCTGATCAAGTACTTTTGTAAGGTCTGTAAATAGGATGCACTCTGGCCAAACTCATTATCATGATGGGCAGTATCTGATGGGACTCAGCTGCTTTCTATGGACTAGGAAAGACAAGAGAGAATTCCACTTTCTTGACTGCAGTGGTTGTAGAATCTTCAAGATGGGAGCTTAAAGCTACTGAAAGCTCTAAGTTAGGATGTGTCCTTTCATTTGGGTGTCTGGGTGTCAGCAAATAGAAGTCATCTTTAGTTCTTTGTGTATGTATGTATACATGTGCATGTGGAGGCCAGAGGTTGACATTAGGTGTCTTCCTCAGTTCACTCTCCACCTTATTACTTTCGAGGTTCTACCACATTTTTGTTGTTCTTTTGTTTATTGAGACAGGTCTCCCTGTAGCCCCAGCTGGCCTCAATCTCACAGAGATCCACCTGCCTGTCTCCCAAGTACGGGGATTAAAGGTGTGTGCCCTGCACCTGGCTTTTAAATTTTTTTTAATTTACTTTTTAAATCTTATGTGTATGAGTGTTCTGCCTGCATGTTAGTACACCCATGCATGCAGTGCCTGTGGAGGCCAGAAGATGGTCTCAGAACTCCTGGAACTGGATTGTTAGCTACCATGTAGAGGTGTCCTTAACTGCTGAGCCATTTCTCCAGTCCCACCTTACCTGGAGCTCATTCCTTCTGCTAGACTGGCTGGTCAGGAAGGCTCAGGGATCCTCCTGTGTGCATGCACCTCCCCAACCCTGGGATTACAGTCAGTCACTGCTACGTCATCACTACATACATGAGTGCTGGGGATCTGAACTCAGGCCTTCATGCTTGTTGCAAACACTTTACCAATACAGCATCACCCCAGTCCCAAGGCAGACAGTTTTTGCTCCCATATATTTATTTAGGATCACATGGAAGCATTTAAAAATTTCGTTGCCCAGACTGCACCCGAGATCAATGACATCATGGGGGCCATCCAGGCACTGTTCTTTTCTGAAGCTTCCCCTCCCTGGGTGCCTCTGACAATGCAGTGTGAGTTTAGTGATGGGAAGCAGTCCATAAAAGAAGATGCCGGAGTTCCCTGACCTGCCCCCAGCCTTCTTTGCAGTGGGCATGACTTGCTTGTGGCTGTTCTGTCATAGAAAACTGAAATGCCAAGCAGACCTAAATGTTAAGGAGGCTTAAATGTTAGGATTGTAGTTAGATTGTTTTTGTAGTGTTGTGCATTCCTGGAGTACTCAAATGTTTGAACTGTCACAATATATGTGTATTTAAACAGTCATAAAAGTACACATAACTACTGTTATATGCCAAATTTTAACATACTGAAAATTGCTAATGAGTTCCCTTCTCCATGGCTTTAAATACAGTAATGAATGTCATCAAGTAGAACATATAAGGTTCACATGCCACTTGGTCCTACTGAGTCATCTTGTGTGTGTGTGTGCGCGCGTGCATATACATGCATATGGAGGCTAGAAGTCCATGTTGACTGTCTTCCCTTTTTGATTATTCATTTTTATTTCCTGTGTATGAGTGTTTTGCCTGCATGTATGTGCACCGTGTACATGCAATGCCTGTGGAAGCCAGAAGAGGGTGTTGGATCCCCTGGAACCAGAGTTATGGATGGTTGTTCTTTCAATCACTTTTGACCTTATTCTTCAATCCAGGGTCTCTCAACAAACCTGGAGCTCCCTGACCCCAAGTTGGCTTAACTGGCTGGACAGCAAGCCCCAGGAAATCTCCTGTCTCTGCCTCTGCAGTATTAGGATATACTGTACCTGGCTTTTTTATGTGGATGCTGGGGATTAAACTGGACCCCTTATTCTTGTGTGACAAGCACATTAAGTGACTAAGCCTTCTTCCCAGCCCCTGCCATTTGTAAAAAAAATACTATTTATTTTTATTTCATACATATATGTATGCATGTATACATATATGAATACATACGTATATTTGGTGTTCGTTTTTCTGCTTCTGAAATCAAGATGGGGTTCCCTGTAAGGCTTTGTTTGGGAGAAAAGGTTCTGCACAGATGAAAATTTAAAAGCTATAGGGCCTTTCCTTACACAGCTGGCCTTTGGAGGACTGTTGTCTTACAGATTAGGTCAGTTTGCTTTAAGGCCCAAGGGCCCCCTGGGCTGGTCTGAGCTGCCTCCCACTGGGATTGGAGTTATCCTGCCTACACAGCTGGGTCCACTTGATGTAGGTTTCTTCTGGGCAGAAGGGGGTAGCTTCTGTGGGAGCTTCAGCTGGGAGTCGATGTGGGCAGTCAAGACATGGCATCATCTGTGCTACTGAGATGTCCTTGAGCAAGTATTGGTCATGGCCTGTCTCTAGATTCAGAGGCATAAAGTGTTCTAGCCAGTTTGAATCTTTTATTGAGGACTAATTGTGTCCTAGGCCCCAAGCTAGGAACTTTATAGACATTCAGTCTTTTCTACATCTTACTTTTCCTATTTTGCACATGGGGAAACTGACGCTCATAGGCATTCAGTAACTTATCTAAGGTCACAGCTAATGTGACAAAGCCAGCATTGGGACACATAGTAGCCCTCTCTGGAGACTTCTTAGAAGCTTTTTTATAAGTTGAGGGGATCAGGGTCTGGAGAGGAAAAGCAATTTGTCCGAGATGACACAGCTGGTTCTGGTCTGACTTCAGAAGCTCTTCCCACTACATTGCTATGCCTGGCATTTGGTATGAAGCTGATGCCTAGGGGATATGCCAAGAGGTGTACCTGCTCCCATCTTCCAGAGATTGAGTCAGTGTTGTGCTCATAGATGAATCCATTTTACATTGTTGTAAGAAAATGCCTAAGGAAGACTACTTTATTATTTATTTATTTATTTATTTAGTATTTATGTATTTGTTTATGAGTGTTTTGCCTGCATGTATATTAAGTGTACCCATGCATGCAGTGCCTGAAGATGCCAGGAGAGGTCATTGGAGCCCCTGAAACTGGAACTGAATCTAGGTCCTCTGCAAGAGCAGGCCTCTAAACCACTGATCCATCTCTCCAGCCCAAGTACTTTATTTTAAAAGGTTTTTTCAGAACTTGAAAGTCCAAGACTGTTAGTTGGCCCCATGCTTTTTGCTTCTGGTGAGGGCCCCGTCTGACCATGGCAGATGGCTTCACAGCATGAAGATGTTCAAAGGGGGAGTGATCTTATGGTGATGCTAACCCACTCCAGCCTGTAGCATTGGTCCCTTCTATAGGCAGTGCCCTGGGTGACTTCATGACCTTGCACTAGGCCCATACCTATAAAAGGTTCCATTACCTCTCAGCTTACCACACCGAGGGCTCAGTTTGCAGTACACGAAGCCTTGCAGACATACTCAAGTCGTGTCCAAAGCATAGCAGATGGTATGGAATGACAAATTAAAGTCACTGTATTTGCTCTTTGTCCCTGTGAGAGGATGCCACATGAAGGACACAGAGAAGGTAGACAGAGGCAGAAGTGACCTTGGAGAGTTATGTCAGTGCCAGAAGGTGGAGGCTTGGTGGGCTGGTAAGAGCCAAGGTCCCCAGGGCAGTCTTGCTTTGGGTCTCGATATGTGCTGGCCCTCACCCCATTGTCCGCTGGTGGGAACCGGGCAGCAGGAATCTGCTTGCTTCATATTCCTGTGGCTCGGTTTAAACTGGCAGCAGTTTTGCCTCCACTTATGGGGGATGGGGGATGTTGCTTAGGACGGGCTAGAAATGAAGAGCACAGCCTGCCCCCCTGCAAAAAGACTCAAGGACTTTCCAGCCAGCCTGCTAATCAAGGAAGGAATGCTTAATCTGAGTCAGATTGCAAGGTGGTCGCTTTTATTTGTTTTCACCTGGAGTTGTGCCAAGGATTCAGCTTTTCCTGTACATTTTATTAAAAACTTTATAAACAGCATTAATAAATAGATATAAAATTGCTGTATAAATGACAGAGAGACCAAATGAAATTCACAAGGGTCAACATTGAATAAGTAACAAAACTATGTCCTTGTATGATCAAATTCCCATATATGCAAATTAGACACAGCACTTTACCACAGGGTCTTTTAATTAATATTTATAAATCACAGAGCACCATGAAAGGGGCCAGTAAGCTTTTTATATTGCTATCGTGTCACACAAATAACAAACCCTCTGGAAATTGTTGCCTGTTTTTTTGCATTTAGTCAGAGAACTAAGCGAGCATGTTGTGTCTCTCCTCTATAGGTGTGGTGTCAGCTCAGCGGCAGGTCACCGTCCAGGAAGGACCCTTGTACCGCACAGAGGGCTCCCACATCACCATCTGGTGCAACGTGAGTGGCTACCAGGGCCCCTCTGAGCAGAACTTCCAGTGGTCCATTTACCTGCCCTCTGCCCCGGAGCGAGAGGTGCAGATTGTCAGCACTGTGGACTCATCCTTTCCTTACGCCATCTATACCCAGCGTGTCCGTGGCGGGAAGATCTATGTGGAGAGAATCCAGGGGAACTCAGCCTTATTGCACATCACAGAGCTTCAGGCTCGGGATGCTGGGGAGTATGAATGTCACACGCCCAACACCGATGAACGCTATTTTGGGAGTTACAGTGCCAAGATGAACCTAGTGGGTAAGCAGACACTGCTTTCAAGTAGCCAGTGTCAGGCCCTTCTGTCACAGTGTGCCTTATTTCATAGGACATTTGACTCTGAGAAAAAGATTCCTCAATATTTTAGAACTCAACAAAGAACATAATTGAACAAGATTTCTATGTTTACTTGTATATTAGTTTGGTTTCTCTTGCTATGATAAACATCGTGACCAAAGTAACTTGAGGAAGAACAGTTGTTTTATTTTTGTTTTATTTTTTTACGTTTTACTCTTCCAAGTGACAGTCTATCACTGAGGAAAGCCAAGGCAGGAACTCAAGGCAGGGCAGGAACCTGGAGGCAGGAACTGAAGCACAGACCATCCAAGAAACACTGCTTGCTCCTCTGGCCTGTGCACAGCCTGCTTTCTTATATAGCCCAAGCCCACCTTCCCAGGGTGGCATCACCCACAGTAGGCTGGCCCCTTTAACATCACTCAGCAATCAAGAACATGCCTCACAGACATGCCCACAGATTAGTATGATAGAGGTAATTCCCCAATTGAGGTTCCCTCTTCCCGAGTGTGTTAGGTTGACAACTGATGCCAGTTATGACAATCTGTAAATAGCAGACGGTTAAAGCTGAAACTTAGAAAAGATCTCATGTACGTGTTAGGGACCTCAGAGGTTAATCAGTCCTCTCGCTGGTGAAAGATGTTCTGGGGGTATATAAAGCAAGATCCTAGGATAGGGGCTCATACCTGGAATCCCAGCATTCTAAAGGCTGAGGCAGGAGGATGGCCCTGAGGTGGGTGATCATCTGTAGAAGTAGCATGGGAGATAAAGCAGGTGACATCAGCTGAGAGGCAAAGCCTCTGTAAGGACACGGGGATAACTACCTGTGTTACCACCCACCCCTCCAGAGGCTACAATGAAATGACAGTAGACACAGTAACGGGAGGATCATTACACAAGTGCAGTAATGTTCATGAGGGAAATCTCAGGAGAATTTCTGCCCAAATAACCCAGTGAGTACCAGATGCTCAGAGGGGAGAGAGAGAGAGAGAGAAGGGAATGAGACCATTTTGAGGGGTAGTAAGTGATTTTTTAGTGAATGAACTAAGTTGATTTTCAGATAATAGTTAGTAAATGATTCTCTTTGGGACTTGAATGGGCCTGGGAGACAGAGTGTAGCTTGTGACAGAAGCTACCCAGGTGTGGTTACGTTCTTTAATCTCCTTCCCTGTCGATGGGAGTTTCATTAATGAAATCCAGGGAAAGGCTGAGAAGTAATTGCTTTCTTCTCCACCAGGTCTGCTTCTTGGACAGACAGGGAACCTTCAGGGTGTCACTTTGCAGCATCCGCTGCTTTCAAAGGGTCTTTAATGTGAATTAATGAGCAGACCAGGGTCCCTGCTTAGGGGTGAAATTCCCTGGACTCCACCTGTCAGAAGTGATACACCTAAAGACAGGCTCTCCAAGGCACGGACATTAGGGATGCAGACACCAAGACCTCCCTGGCTGCAGGCTGAGTTTTAACTACCTGTTTTTTAAAATTTTTAAATTTTATGTGTATGAGTGTTCTGCCTGCATGTATGTAGGTGCATGATGTATTTGCAATGCTTGTGGAGGCCCGGCCAGAAGAGGGTGTCAGATCCCCTGGAACTGGAGTTATAGATGGTTGTTAACTGTCATATGGGTGCTGGGAATTGAACCCAGGTCCTCTACAAGAACAGCTGGTGCTCTTAACCACTGAGACATTGCTCCAGCCCCCTACCTGTCTCTTAATGCTTCCTGCACGATAGAGGTATAAACAAGAGGTGTGGGGAGCTTTAAGTGTGGACATCCCTGGCCACCTGTCACCAGCGAGGAAGGGTGGACAGTAGCAAGCCTGCTCTCTTTTTTCCTTTTAAATCCAAGTTCCGATTTATACCTTTTATTATCAAAATTAAGTAGGGAGTATCGGCAGTTCTTTATACTCACCTTGCTTATTTTTCTTTTCTGTAATGAGCCTCTATCCTAAAAAAGAAGACTTTAAGATGAGTATAGGGAAAAAGCACGCCTTAGTTGTTACTAGAGTGCCTTTGTCACATAGAGGTGTGTGGCATAGAGTAGGTGACATTTAGTTTCCAGAAAGATGGAAGGTCAGGATAAAACTCCATTCGTTGGACACAGAGCAGGGTCTGCGTTTGCCAGTCATCTGTGTGCTTTGGTTTCCTTTCACCGTGGGCCACTTTTGTCTGATGAATTATGTGAAAATTAACTTATTAGAAATAGGACTCTGTGAGTTCAAGGCTAGCCTGGTCTATATATGAGTTCTAGGCCAGCCAGGGCTACATAATGCAACCCTGTATCAAAAAAAAAAAAAGGAAGGAAGGAAGAAAGATATAAAGAAAGATGATAGATACATAGAGGCACAGGTCCAACCTGTTGGTGCAGGCCTATAATCCAGCTGCTTGGAAGGCTGAGGCAGGAGGATCATAAGTTCAAGGCCAGTTTGGGCAACATAATGAGACCCTGTCTCAGAATTAAGGAGCTGGGGCTAGGATTGTAGCTCAGTGGTATAGCACTTTCCTAGCATACCTGAGACCCTAGGTTCTGTCCTCAGTACAGGGCCAGAGAAGGGAAGATTATGATGGTTTTCTCTATTCACGCTTTCCAATTTTTTTTTCTTTTCCATAACCTTCTAAGGGCAACATCTTGCTGAAGTAAACTGGAATGTGGGAGAGCAGGCTGAGGAGAAGGAAAAGAGAGTGTGCTATGTAGGAATGTAAAACCAGCCACTGCAGTTTAGTCAGAATGAGGTTAAAGTATCTCAAAGCAGTACCAAAACCAGCAATGCATTATTAGACCTCAAAGAAAATGATTCTTACAGTGTTTTCAGAGTGTTCCTTTGTTATGTTAAATTGTCGAAAGACAATCCATCTTTGCTCTTGAGTATTATTAAAATCCTAAGCAAGCCAAGTGTGGGTGGCGTGCGCCTTTAATCCCAGCACTCAGGAGGCAGAGGCAGGTAGAAGTCTATGAATTGGATCTCTGTGAGTTGAAGACCAGCCTGGTCTACATAGCAAGTTCCAGGTCAGTCAGGGCTACAGGGAGAACTTGCCTTAAAAAAAAAATCCCCAAGTAGGCCCCCCCATGCCCCAATTAGGTATCATAATGGACAACTGTTCCTTGACTTATGTGTCTTTTGAGGTTATCTCTGGCTTGACTTGTTTTTCAGAGACTGACTGTTGAGGCAGTTACAGTGGTGCCTACGTGGAATGGGGGTCTTGCCTCCCAGAAGGTGAGTCTCAGATTCTGTGGTTCTGTAACCTTCCTCCCTGTGGACATTCTGTGTTACAGTGATTCCAGATTCTCTGCAGACCACGGCCATCCCCCAGACTCTGCACAAAGTAGAGCAGGACCCACTGGAGCTCAGTTGTGAGGTGGCCACAGAGACCATCCAGCACAGCCATCTGTCTGTAGCCTGGCTACGGCAGAAGGGTGGTGAGAGGCCGGTGGAGGTCATTTCCCTGAGTCGAGACTTCATCCTTCACTCCAGCAGCGAATATGCCCAGAGGCAGAGCCTGGGAGAGGTGCGGCTGGACAAGCTGGGGAGGACCACCTTCCGCCTTACCATCTTCCACCTGCAGCCTTCCGACCAGGGAGAGTTCTACTGTGAGGCCGCTGAGTGGATCCAGGATCCAGATGGGTCATGGTACGCCATGACCCGAAAGCGCTCTGAGGGTGCTGTAGTCAACATCCAGCCTACCGGTCAGTCTCTCTGAGCCTCTTGTTCTCTAGCTGGTGGGGACTCAGACACTGGGAGGGAGTAAGGGAGTAAGGACACCTTTGATGATGGTAACTGTACAGTAGGGATTCAGGTGAGGTTGCGGATGTTTGTGTCCCAGGCTGAAGAATACAGAGGGGTGCACAGCCTGACCTTCCAGTGATCCCTGGACAATGCTGTTCATACCGGCCCCTGTTCATTGTCATGTTTTCTTTACTTACAATAAGAAATTCATTTTAAAAAATTGAAAGATTTCACAGAAAACATTTGTGTCTCATAACTTTGGGTTCCCTTTCCTGTTAGCCATGGTTGCTTCCTCAACCCTGCGGTTCGATAACATCATAGAAGACATTTGAGACGATGAGGTTTCCATTGGAGGTGTAAAATGGAGAATTTTGGCTTATACCATTATTTTTATATTAATATTCATGTTGTGCTCTTTTTCATAATTTCTAAAATGCTTTATCATATATTGCCAGCATTATTTCTGTGAGATGAGTTGTATTGGCTTTCCCACTTTGTAGGTAAGCATGCTAAGTGTAGAGTACTCTGTGGTATGGACCCAGTGTATGCTGGTAAGGCCAGTGCAGAGTACTGGGTTCTATTGTGGATGCTTTCTCAAGGGAAGATCTGGGTGGAGTCCTTGAGGATGTTGAATAATGTGTTTAGGGCTGAGGTAGTGATGGGGGCCTGGCAAGCTGAAGCCCTCCCCAGCGTCTCTTAGTGTCTCCTGTGACCCCAGGTTCCACTCCAGGCTCGTGAACCTATGGAGTTTCAGGTCAGAGCTGACAGCTGTTGCCAGCTACTTCAGCAGGGCTGGGCCATTGGTCCCTGGGACAGTTGTTGGAGGGTGGCCGTCATGCTGGTCCTGAGCTGACTAGAGGGCCTTTCTTTGTGATAACTCTTCCCTCTGCTAAGGGCTGTTGGTCCAGGTGAGGGGAGTGGAAGTTTGTGGTGACAGATGGGAGTCAGGAGTTGTCTTGATCTCCTTGTCCTGTTCGTGGGTCGTCTTGGTTCTTGAGTGGGTGCTCTGATGTTTGAGAACAGTGCCTCAGCTTTACTTAAGATACGCTTCCTGACTCATCCCTGAGGTTTCCACTCAGGGGCTCCTGGGGTGGGATCTGGATGGCTGGATTTCTGACACATTTCCGAGGTGATTCTTCCTTTTACCGTGTCTCCATTTTATCTAGCACAGCCCCAGAGGGCTGAGAGGATTCTCTGGATACCTAATGGATGTGAGAGCTTTTCCCAGAAGGTTGGGTTCCCGGATGGGAAGGGCATATTGGATCCAACTCTTAGGATCCTGGGCTTTTAGTAGCTTCTGGATCTTCTAGTATTAAGAAGTCTACCAAAGAAGCTTTAGTTCCTGTTTGTCATTCTCCTTCCTGGGTCAGCTTTAAGATCAGCATCAAAAGTCTGGACCAAAGTTTAAGTCCTGATGCTTCTAAATTAGGTTGCATCAGTTAATCTTCTTTATTTTAATCTTACCCGTTTGGAATTAGGACATTTTGAATTTGCCCATAAATGTATCCAGACTAAGCCAGCAAAGGAAAATTTTAATGGGAAATAAAACAAAGTTGATGACTTCATTGTGTGTCCTCGTCAGGCTTAGCTCTGACTTTTCATGTTCTTTTCAGTGAGCATTCATCAGGCTTTAGAGCACGGAAGGTGTGGTGTGAGGTGTCAGGGGACACCAAGATGAGTAACGTAGGTCTGTGCACTTAGGGTGCTAAGTGCTGTGGTAGTGTCTGCATAGAGAACTTTAGAATACTGTGCCTGAAGGTTCTTCCTGGACAAGACAGCTACTAAGGCAAATCTAAGAAAATTCAGTAAATTTGGTGAGCTGTGTCAAGCAGCAGCAGGAAAAGCATGACACGAGTCATTTGATTGCTGGCAAGCAGAGATAGGTCAAGTAACTAGGTGCTGAGTTCTAGATGGAGTGGTGGAGAAGGAGAGGGTGTCCTGTAGCTGTATACTTGGAGGTGGAATTATGGACTCGACCCTGCAGACCAGAAATTGAGCTGTTCTTCTTGGAACCACAGTAGCCCTTTGGAGAACCTGAGAGGTCACCTGGATGAGTGCGCGTGCTCACATGCATGCACCAAGAGGTGGAGGGAACACACATGTCTGCTCCCTTCTTGCTTCCACCCACTCTTTGCCATATTGGGCAGCAAAAGATTTTTACATGAAGGAAGTCCTCTCACCTCAAGCCACCTAATGAAGTTTGAAGACACGCTCTGCAGGCAGTGGTAGGGTAGAGAATTATTATTTTATTTTATTATTATTTATTATTTTATTTATAAAATATTGCCTGCATGTAGGTAAGTGCACCTGTGTCATGCAATGCTGGCGGAGGTCAGAAGAGGCTGGCGGATCTCCTGGTACTGGAGTTATGGACAGTTGTTAGCTGTCATGTGGGTGCTGGGATTCGAACCTGGGTTTTCTGCAAGAACAACCAGTGTTCTTAACCACTGAGCAATCTCTCCAGCCCCGAGAATAGAGATTTTTTAATCAGGAAGTGACACTACTTGATTGGGGATTTAGAAGGAAGAACCCAGAAGTCCATGTGAAGGTCAATCAGATAGACTTAAGTGTGAAGTCAAGAGACCAGATGGGAAAGAACTTATATGGCCTAGGCAGGGCCATGGCAGTGGCCTGGGAGGGAATACCCTATGCTGTAGGCAGAAGGATAGAGAGTCTGATGGAAGGAGGAAGCTTGCTGGGAGTCCTGAGGATGGGCTGGACGTGGCTCCTGTGGTTCCCTGAGCTGTGGGAAGGAAAGGGAAAAGGAAGGGTCATGAGAACATCTGCTTCCCTGAGAGTGGCAGCACTGGTTTTTCTTTTGTTTTTGTAAATTTTAGTCAAGGAATCCACCCTGTAAGCAGACTTTCAGAGATGCTCTTAATGTGACACATCCATTGTGTCATCGGACCTGGAGCTGTTAGAGTCTGAACTTGTGAGTGAGGAGGGCTCAGGAAAGCCCATGGGACAAGAACAGGAGCAGGCTCAAGAGATTCCCAGCAGTAGGATGTGGTCAGAGACTAGGTCGTATCATGAGAGGAGCTGAGTGGTCTTTCGAGGCAGAAGAGATGTGGGAGAGAGGGTGTCTCGGAACCAAGGGAAGAGAGCAGTCCCACAGGCCAGAGCTCACTTGGGAAGATGAGGGTTGGGTGAATCATGGGTGGCATCCACTAGGTCAATAACTTGTGGACAGATGGCCAGAAGCCACATTTCTGTGAGCTAAGGAGAGCAGAGTACTAGAAAAAACATAAGCCAGATTCCAGAGATTCAGGTGGATGGGCATAAGCAGGAGATATGGTTTGCATCTTCAGCCAAGGAATGTGAAGGCCACAGGAAGCATGGGGGATTCTGTGTGATGAACATTATCTTGGGCTGCCAAGAGAGGAAAGCCCCAGGGGTCTCCAGCCTCGCCTGGGACAGATGAGAAGGTCTGAGGTCCAGACTCCCCTGGCATGCTGGCTCTCATGTGGAGGGAGTACCCTTTTAGCATTGATAAGGGTCGTGAATTACAGTACTTTTTGGTTTGACCAGAGACTAATAACAGAGTGCATAACATGGGCACAGTCTCATCTAGCAGACAGTTCCTCTAACAGGCAGTGGTAGAGAAAAGCCTTTTGCTTTCTGCCCATGTCTCCCAGGACTGGTCACTTGGAAAGCGGAAGTGGTGGCAGCAGCTGACATATTGGAGGTGTTGGTGAGGTGGGGCAGGGGGTGTTGCTCTGTCAGTAAGTGTGGGTAATACAGGGAGGAGCTAGTCCTTTACAGGGGTAGAAATGGTGTCTGGGGCAAGACACTGGCCTATGTGAGAAGGAGAGGATGAAGGACAGAGGGGTAAAAGCTGAGTTGGGTTGAAGAGAAGCATTCAGGCAGTTCACTCGCTGTGATCTGTTTCCACAGGAAAACAGGATTCTCACTTGCTTGAAGAGCGTGTGGATTGGGTTGAGGATAGCCAAGGTGTGGGGCGTGAAGGTGGTGGTAATGGCCTAGAAAGACCAGAGAGGGAAGGCAGTTATGGTTGAGGCTGATGGATCCACAAGAAGTTACACATCACTGTGATGTGACTTTTTCTTCCATATTTTCTGTGAGGGAACAGAGCAAGAACTAGAAGGAGTGGAGACTTTGGCATCCTCCCATAACAAGGGGAGATCATTTCATTTCCTCCCACCCTCAACTCCTTTTCCCTTCACTTCTGCAATGGGTGCCTCTTGAGATCATGGGTCTGTCTCATGAGTTGAGAGTCACTGAGTACCATTCCATGGAGTATTGCAATGCTGATCATGGGAACAAGCCCTGCTTGGATCTCCTGCTGTGCCTGGTTAGATGCTAACTCTTGGAAAAGTACCTACCTGATTCCTTCACCATTTGACCCAGCAGGTGATAAGCTGGTGGAAAGACATTGCTTTTTATTTTTCCCATGTGATGCCATTAATGTATCTTGTGCATGTCTGATTTTCAGTGTTCTCATGAGGGTAGAGAGAAAACCTTAGTATATTCATCTGAGTGTTGATTAGGATTGGGGTCAGCATATAACCCACTCTAATTTTGCCACACAGACTTCTGTAAAGGGAGTCCTACAATATCTGCTGAAATACTTGTAACTGTGTTGTATTAGCAGAGGTCTGGGTATGCATTATCAGGCTAGACCTTTGTGATCTGCCATCTAAGTGATACTTGGCCTGACTGTTGGGTGCTGACAGTCTAATCTATGGCAGCATATGCCTCAAACAGAGCCTTGTTGGTCTAGATGGGAATAGTAAGCTCCTCAGACACTCTGGATTTGACTGGGGTCTGTGATATTCAAGGGTTTCTTTGAGCCTCATGTAGCCTTGGCTTGAATTGGATTTTCTTTCAGGATAAATGTTGTGGAGCCTTTTCTGTAGTTATTGTCATAAAGAAGGTCAGAGAAATAGGGATTTGCTGTGTAATTTGGTGAGCTGTGGCTCTTATTCACTCAAAATGCATCTGGTTTGTTTGTGTTCTCAGACAAAGAATTCACTGTCCGGCTGGAAACAGACAAGCGACTGCATACAGTGGGTGAGCCGGTGGAGTTCAGATGTATCCTTGAGGCTCAGAACATTCCTGACCGGTACTTTGCTGTCTCCTGGGCATTCAACAGCTCACTCATCGCCAGCATGGGGCCTAATGCTGTGCCGGTCCTCAACAGCGACTTTGCTCACCGAGAAGCCAAGGGACAGCTTAAGGTGTCCAAAGAGAGTGACAGTGTCTTTGTGCTGAAGATCTACCACCTCCGCCAGGAAGATAGTGGAAAATACAATTGTCGTGTGACCGAGCGAGAGAAGACAGTCACTGGCGAGTTCATCGACAAGGAGAGCAAGCGTCCCAAGAACATACCTATCATGGTCCTCCCCCTCAGTAAGTAGAGATGCGTCACTCGCTTGTCCTCCCTTGGTTTCTGGAGCAATGGAGAAGTAGGGGGAGAGAGAATAGCTATTGGAGAAGGGGGCAGAATTGGGAATAAGGCTACCAGAGAGAGAAAGCGTGGGCCTCTCCACCTACTCCAGCCCACCCGCCCACACTTAGCAGCCCCTAGGTCTTCAGAGCAGCAGGGATATGTCTAGGGCTAGAGATGGTGCCCTCAAACTTGAGGCCAGGCCACTGAGTGTAAACATCAGCTGTGCCAACTCAGCTTGGAGGAAAACCAGGAAGTCATTTGCTCCTCTGGAGGAATTAAATCCCAGAAGTAGGTAGAGACCTGTCTTGAAATCTACTTAAGGAGACTTCATCTATTATGGGAGGATTTTAAATCATCAATTGCATTATTAAGAAGGATTTGACGTCTGGGTTTTTCTAGGTATAAACGTGGACATTTCCCTAGTTGTCTCTTCCATACTGAAATTGCATTGTTAAATATCAGTGGGTGATAGAGCCCTTGCCAGTGTGCATGAGGCACTCGGTTCATCCTAATGTGCACAAAAAGCAGTTAGTGGATGGGGGTCTCTGTCTTCCTGGAGCATGCTTTGAGAGCTTAGGCTTCTGGAAGGCTGCTCCAGGCCCTGCCCCCCATGTGCGCTGGTGCTGTCAGGGTGGGGGCAACTTTTCCTGGGGACTCCAGAGATAACCAGTGTGTGTGTGTGCATGTTGTGTTTAAATATCCATAGCGTCAAGATGTTCTTATTAATCTCCTTTCTCACATAGTTCTGTTTTCAGAAAAAGATAATGAAAACTTACAATGCTCTGATTTTAAGCAAGATGATCCAGTTTAAAAACTAACCTTTAACCTTTTCTCAGCTGCTCAGACTGTTCTTACTCTTAGCCTTGTAATGATTCTTTACATTTTATTTATATTTTGAAGTATTTGAAATATTTCTCCTTAAGTGTGAAGTTCAAAATAGATAGAGGAGGCCTGCTGCTCTTTTTTTCCTTTTTTCATCAACAGGATTGCTTTCTATCAAACTCATAGTTTGAACACACAGACACACACACACACACACACACACACACACACTAGTAACCTTGAATTTAACTTCTTTTATTTCTTTTCTTGTAATGCATGCTGCTTGGCATAGATTAGGTGCTTGCTGAGTCTCTGTACAGTTGAGCCTGTTAGATGGAATGCCCACACTCTATATCGTTTTCCTGTGCCTGCCTTAACCTCGGACTGGACTCTACTTTTAAACCTACAACTAATTCCTCATTGTTTCATAAGGATGGAGTGAGAGGCAGCCCACGCTGTTTGCTTCCTGTATCTTTTGTACTAAAAGATTTCCCCCAACCCTTCTAAGAACCTGTTTGATGATCTGTGGCCTGCTGTATTGCTTTTCCAGCAGATAACTGGGTAGTTAAAGTCCCCCAGCACCACCAGATCCTGCCCCAAGGCCACTTGGGTAAGTCTGCTTGATAACAACAACAATCCCTTCGGTAATGGTGATAATACCCTGGATTCTAATTCTGGCTCTTTTCCTTCTAAGAGCCCAAAGTGCTTCTGCATAAATTATCCTTTCTGCTATCAACCCTCCAATCCCTGTCCAGGCCAATGTTACATCGATCTTGTAAACAAAGAAGTCAGAGCACCAAGCAGGACGGTGACTGAGCCCATTGTTCAGTTGGTGGTTGAGCTTGCAATTGCAACAGGAGCATTCGCTCTAACTCCAAATCCACTGCTCTGCGCTTAGCCTGTGCTCCACCAGCAGCCTTCCGATTGGAAATTGCATTTGTGAACATGCTGTCAGATTCTCATTAGTTCTGTCCTAGTTTTCATTTAGTCAGGAGAATTTTAACTTGTTGGCTGCCTTTTCATAAGCCTGAGAACCTGTAGATATAGTTACAGTGGGCACCACAACGCCAGGTCTGCATTTGCCCTCTGCCTCGATGCCGGAAGGCTTTTCTTTTAACTGGATTTTTCAGGCTTCCTCCAAACAGAACATCCATAAGGGTCCACTGGGGGGACGGTATGCCATGGGACTGATGTCCTATAAGTCATTCTTCTGCTTAAGACAAGCAAAATGATTTCTTTCCTCAGTGCTGAAGCTGCTCCTTTAGTCTCTTGGAATTGACAGCAGTGAGGAAGAATATTGAACCTGAAGAGGGCTACTGTTATTACTAATGATCCGAAGAGGGGTCAGGGCTGTATGTAGCTCATCTGCCTGGTATGCATGAGGCCCCATGATAATTCTCAGTGCTGCCCTCCCCCAGAGAGAGAGAGAGAGAGAGCTCATTAATCTTGGTGTCTCACCCTAAGAAGTCACAATCAATGTCTCTGCTTTGCACACGAGAAATTGAAGCTTGGATAGACAGTCAGAACCCCAGGATTCCAGTCAGGAGACAGGAACCTGCTCTGTTAACCTCTGGTGCTCTGGATGCTGGCTTTGCAGGATCATCCATGAATCACCTTTCGAGGACTCTTGGGCAGGCTGCCCTCCTGGAAAACTGCCATTCCCTACCTTGTCCAGAATTCTCTCCTGTGAAACAAGCAAATCCGGAACGTGTAGCCAGAGATCCTCTCTGACAAAAGCTAGACACTGAGCTCGGTGCTCATCTTCGCTTCTTTCTGCCTGTGGGGATAATGGGGAGAAAAGATCGATCCAAATGCCTCATTGTATGTATGTGCGCTTCCCTCAGTAACTGGGTGTGCTGCTTAATCTGGGATTTGATTTAATTGATTGTGAGTGAAGCCCAGAAAATTGGATCCAAATTGATTATGGCGCTATGTTTTGTGTTCTTTAATACTTCTGAGGTCTTTGAACTCAATATAGGTAATTATACAAAATAATATATGAATAATCAAGATAGTCATATCCATACTGTTGATAAAGACAGAAAATTCCTGAGAATAGTAAAATTAATCATGATCGTGGCGACCATCTTTTGAAAACATACTATATATTTAAGTAATCCGTGTACATCATCTCATTTACTTTTTAATCTCTTAAAAATCAAAAATAGGCTGGAGAGATGGCTCAGTGGTTAGGAGCACTATGCTGCTCTTGCAGAGGACCAGAGCTCAGTTTTCAGCACCCATATCCAGTGACTTGAAGCTGCCCATAACATCAGTTCCAGGGACTCCAGCACCCTCTTCTGCCCTCTTTGGGCATCTGTACACCTGTGACATACACTTATACACAGACACACAGATACACACAGACACACACACACATGCGTGCGCGTGCGTGTGTACGTATAAACAAAAATACATTAAAAAATTAAAATAGCATCCTACAGAAAAGAAGAAACTGGGGCTTGTGAGTTTAAATCATCCAGTTAAATGATCTAACTCAGTCAGCTAAATGGCAAAGGCTAGACTAAGGAGGAGAAAGAGTGGGGTCCTTAGCCCAAGCTTTGGTTGGTAGAGGGTTTCCAGGTAGGGAGCAGAGGCACCCTGGGGCTGAGTGAGGATAGGGGGAGAGGGGTGTAGATGGTGAGCCACTGGCTAGGGCTCATTCTCCTATGTTAACAAAAGCATGAAAGCTCACTTTCCATGCAGTCTGTGAAATGAAACCATCTGTGCTCCATTATCCACATGTAAGCACACACTATCTTTCAAGCACTTCCTGGCATTTTTTTCTCCTTCCTAATATTCCCCTGAAGGACTCAAATGGTACGTTGAGGATGCTTAGCTTTTATTTGACTGCTATAGCACCAAGTGGTAGAAGATTAAGGTGCAGCAGTGTTGGGGAGTTATTCCTCATGCTGAAAATCCACGTTGGAAGCCCTGAACTTTAGCTGAGCAGGTTACATATACCATATATTATTTTGTGCCCTGAACACCATGCCATTCTATTTCTCAGCTCCAATTCATTCTTAGGTCTTAGGATCTCATTATCCCAGCCCTCTACACAAAGCAAAGAGCATCCTAGGCTATCACCTCTAGGGAGCAATGCCCAGAACCAGCCAGATCCTGAAGCAGTAAGTGTCCAAGTGTTCTGAATCCTCTGAGCTCACTGTCAGACTCACTTGATTCTGTTTGTACCCATCTTCCTGTGGCATCCTTGGGGAGGGCGCCATGGAGACCATAAACCCCCAGCGTGGCACTCTCTCCTCTCCCCAGAGAGCAGCATTTCCGTGGAGGTGGCCAGCAATGCCAGCGTCATCCTCGAGGGAGAGGACCTGCGTTTCTCCTGCAGTGTCCGCACAGCAGGCAGGCTGCAGGGCCGCTTCTCTGTCATCTGGCAGCTTGTGGACAGGCAGAACCGGCGCAGCAACATCATGTGGCTAGACCGGGATGGCACCATGCAGCCAGGCTCATCGTACTGGGAGCGCAGCAGCTTTGGCGGCATCCAGATGGAGCAGGTGCAGCCCAACTCCTTCAGCCTGGGCATCTTCAACAGCAGGAAAGAGGACGAGGGCCAGTACGAATGCCATGTGACGGAATGGGTACGGGCTGTGGATGGCGAGTGGCAGGTTGTGGGCGAGCGCCGTGCCAGCACCCATGTCTCCATCACAGCTCTTGGTGAGTGAGCAGTGGGGGCCGCTCCTGTGTCAGGCTCCTTCCCTTTTTATCATAGTTCTGGTTGGAGGGATTGGGGAGACGGCTTGGTGGTTACAGAGCTGTGAATTCTGGAGTTCAGATCCACAGACACCACATAAAATGTCAAGTGGGTGTGGCAGCCTGCTTGTAATTTCAGCCTCAGAATGCAGAGACAGGATCCTCAGAGCAAGCTGGCTGGTGAGACTAGCCATATCAATGAGCTCTGGGTTTGGCTGAGAGGCTCTGCCTCATTAATAAGGTAGAAATGTGATTGAGGATGATTCTTACCATCTATCTTGGTCCTACACATGCTTATGTACACATGTGCTTGCTCACCCCCACACACATATGCCTGCACACATAAACATGGGTATACATACATGCATACACCACACACACACACACACACACACACACACACACACACAGATTCTCATCAGAAACGATGCTATCTTTCAAAGGGGTATCCTTGCAGGGACTCTAGGGTCATGTGCATAGGGTTGAGGAAACCAATGGTAGATGGTGAGACATCTACAGCTAGTGACACCATGGAGGCTGAGTGGTGTCAGGATTCGAGCCAGGCTGATGCCACTACCCAGCAGGAACATAGCTGTGGCAAAACAGGTCTGGAAGGCAGGGGGAGTGACCAAGTACTACAGCAAGTCTCCTGCCCTCGTGGTGTCCTGCCAAGTCGCTCATAGCTCAGCTCTCCTGAAAACACAGCAGCGTAGAAAGCCCCTTTGCATTAGTTCAGCATTTGCCCCATGTCTGGCTGAGTCTAAGCGCTCGAGCTCAGTTGGCCACTCATTCTACCAGGACACCGAGGTAAAGACACGCCAGCTCATTTGCCCAAGGTAACAAACAGCTTTTCAGTGACCCAGCAACAATTGACCCGGGAACCCTGCAGGCCATCTTGATGGTTTTCAAGGCCTCTGTTTTCATCTGTTCCTCTGTAAAGCTCCTACTTAAGAAAGCCATTTCCTCATTAGCATGACGGGAAAAGATACCTTGAAATTTGCTAAAACCAGAGAATATTAGATTTGCTTCTCACAGGGTAGACAAAGAGGTTTCTGTCAACGCTTATCTGCCAGATATAATCAGTTATATTAAATTTTGAAAGACCATCCTGCTACTTTGCTGGGAAGATAACTTGTTATGTCAGCCCTTTTTTTTGTCAGGAGGCCCATGTCAGTTACCTCAGCAGCTTTGTGTCCCACTCATGGGACCATGTCACCACCTTCCCTCAGGTGGGGCTGGTGGGGCTGTCATCTACCCAGTAAAGACCACAGCCCTGGGTGGATCTGCACAAGACCAAGGTCTTCATTCTCCCTTCCCTCTGAGGTGAAGATTACATTTGCTGTTTTATTTTTGTTTATTTTTATTTTTTTTCTCTTTTTGGAGACAGAGTCTCCCTGTAGTCCCAGCTGACCTGAACTCACTATGTAGATCAGGCTGGCCTTGAACTCACAGCGATTCGCCTGCCTCTGCCTCCCGAGTGCTGGGACTAAAGGCGTGCACCACCATGCCAGGTTATTTTTAAAAGAAATTTATGCTTTAAATTTTTTGATGATAAAACATTATTAATTTTTCTATTTAATCTTCTATCCCAGAGCTTTGCAAAGGGGAAGCTGTGTGCTTGCTGCTGCCATAGGAGCCCTTGAACTTTTCAGGATAACAAGGTGTCTACTCAAGCAAAGCATGCAAAAACAACAAAACACACACATGCATCTAGTAGTTAAAAAATAAAAGTTGTTGGGGCTGAAGAGATGACTGGTTGCTCTTACAGAGGACCTGGGTTCAGTTCCCAGCACCCACATGGCAGCTAAAAACCAGCTATCACTCTAGTTCCAGGGGATCCAATACTCTCTTCTGGGAGAGTACCCTCCTTTGGGCATTGCACTAACAGGTGCACTTACATACATGCAGGAAAAGCACTCATACACATAATATAAAAATAAATAAAGCAATAAAATGAAGTTTCAGACTTCTGACTTTCTGTTCCAGCAGTGTTTGGCTAGACTGGCCTGATTGCTCTCTAGGACCTGGAAAGAACACAGCATCATGAAAACCCAGATTCCACCTCTGTGTTCCCTGATTTACTGTGATTGTATCCATTTTCTAAAAACTTCATTCTAAGATGGGCTTGCCTTCTGCAGTTGTCATACAGCTCAGATTCCTGTTTCTAGAAACTTTCTCCAGTGATACAGTTCCCTGATGATCCTAATCCCTGTGCCAGTGTGGACCTGAGAAGGGAACTTGGGAGAAACTTCTAGGATCTGCTCCTGGTAGTTTTCTTCGGTCCTGGGAGGTTAGGACTGTCCAGGGAATGGTTATTTAGGATTGTTTCTCTACAAGTAATTTTACAGCTTCAGGTTATGTGTCCTCGGAGTGTTCTTAAATGTACCACATGTCTACCAGTGCTTCCCAGAGTCAGTGCTTACTGAGTAGCAATAAGAGGATCCTGGGGCCAGCTCTGTTCCTTAGACCCTCTCCCCAGGATGCCTCAGACTCAGGGTAAAAACCCTGGAGAAAAGGGTAAAGGGAACCTGGACTAAGGATGTCTTGTGTGCCATGATCTTTTGACTAATGTAAACAACCACACATAAAATTTTTTGTATTGATACAATGAGTTATAGATCCCTGTCCTAGTTAGCTTTCTATTGCTGTGATAAAACACTCTGACCAAAACCAACCTGGGGAAGAAAGGGTTTATTGCACCTTATATTTCCAAGAAACAGCCTGTCTTTGAAGGAAGTCAGACAGGAACTCGGGCCAGGAACCTAGAGGCTACTGAAGCAGAGACCGTGGGGGATGCTGCTTACAGGCTTACTCTCCTGGCCTGTGCTTAGTCTGCTTTCTTATACAACCCAGGACCACCTGTCCAGGGGTGGTACCACCCACAGTGGGTTAGGTCTCCCCATATTACTCAAGAATCAAGAAAATGTCTCACAGACCTGCCCACAGGCCAGTCCAATAGAGGAAATTCCTCAACTGAGGTTCCTCCTTCCCTGGGGTGTCAAATCGATGACAGAAGCCAAGCATGACAATCCCCCTCAGCAGGGAGGTAACAGTGACAAGATGGCACGTGAGTTAATAGGACAATTTCCAAGTGCCCACAGGCCACTGTGAATGGAGGAACAGCTCAGCATGTGTGCTCTGATCTGTGATTGTGGTGTATACCTGTGTCAGGCCTGGCATTGTGACTTGTAGGGAGGCACTGTCTCCCCATCATGTGTGAAGCCAGGAATGCCCTGTGCAGGGCCTGACCTTGTCCTTTTGTTACACTGCTCTATGGAGCACATGCTGCACACAACTGTCCAAGTGACCATCATAGCCATGCAATGATTAAGGGTCGGCCTCCCGAGTCTTCGTTTTTTAAATAGAAAGTTCAGAGTTTTCAGCAAATTTTGCCTACCTGTTCTGTGACAGCCCCCTAGGAAGAGCTAGAAGATTCCTCATGTCTTGTGTTTTGCCTACAGAGTTTAAAGTCTTTTATGTTTGTTTTGTTTTTTAAACTAATACATATTTGGGGCTGGAGAGATGGCTCAGTGGTTAAGAGCACTGGCTGCTGTTACAGAGAACCTGGATTCAATTCCCAGTACCGACATGGCGGCTAACAACAGCTTTCCATAACTCCAGTTCCAGGGGAATCCAACACCCTCTTCTGACTTCCTCAGGCATTGCCTGGCATGAGTGCACTTACCCACATGTAGTCAGTACACTCCCCTACATAAAAATAATAAATAAAATATTTTAAATGTACTACATATTTCATAAAATATATATGAGAACTGTTACTACAGTTACTCGTCTGTTGCTGTGATAAAATACCATCACCAAGGCAGCTTATAGATGAAAGAGTTTATTTGGCTATGGTTCCAGAGAGATAAGAGTCGATCATGAGCTGGGTGTGGAGGTGCACACCTTTAATCCCAGCACTGGGAAGCAGAGGCAGGCAGATCTCTGTGAGTTCAAGGCCAACCTGGTCTGCATAGTGAGTTCCAGGCCAGCTGGGGCTACAGGGAGACCCTGTCTCAAAAAGACATTCCTCCACCCCAAAGAGTCCATCATGATGGGGAGGCATGGCAGCAGAGGCAGTTAGAACAGAAAGCTGAGTACTCAGGTCTCCAACCAAACACAGGATGCAGAGAGAGAGAGAAACAGCAAATGGGACAAGGCTATGAACTCTTAAAGCCCGCCCCCAGCAACATGCTTTCTTCAGCAAGGCCAGACCTCCTAAATCTCCACAAACAGTGCTACGAGCTGGGGCCAAGTATTCAAATACTTGAAGTCTATGGGGGACGTTTTTTTATTCAAACCACCACAGGTGCCAAATGCTCATTTAATCTTCACAAGGACCCACTTTACAGAACGGGGCACAGAGACAGAGAGGAGTTAGATCATTTACTTAATGTCACACAGCTAGGAAATGTCACAATCAGTTGGTTGCTTGTATCTGCGCCTTTATCTAGTTTCTGATGGTTCCCCCTGGCAAAGCAACCTTAGACAGGCCCCAGGGTCTGTAGCCGGACTCTGAAGTTTACTATACCTCAATATTGGGCAGTTTATTTGACTTCTCTGTGCCCTGCAAAGGACAGTAAGTGGGCCTGTCCTATGAAGTTATGGATTCAGTGAGATGTGGTGGGAGCAGAGCAGTTGGCCCCAGACTTAGCACATGGCATTTGGTGAACACTGGCTACGTTAATGTGATGATTTTAACCAGTGTGCTCATCTGATATAGAGTTTCCATGAAGGAACTCCAGGGCACTTGTTCTGAGGAATGACGAGATTAGCATTGCTGCCCAGTCAGTAAGGAATATTGAGAGGCTCATAGCCCACTGTGACTGCAGAACCCTGACTTTAGGAGCACTGTGTCACCCCACCCGAGGTGACCACCTGCTGAAGATCTAATCCCTCCTGTTGTGTGGGTCCCTTGATGCCTCTGTGAACCTGGATTCTGTTAGGGAATTAGAGGAGGGGCTAACAGTCTTCTCCACCTTTCTCCTTCAGGGTGCCATGCACTGGAGGCCCAGGGACAGGTGCCAGGTGTTAAGTGCATGAAATGAAGGAAATGGGCTTGGGGGACCCCCCCCCCCATTTTTGTACAGAATCCTGGGATTTCTAGGAATGTGGTGTGAGCCTGAGAGGGCTCTTGTGCCTTGACCTAGAAGAAGACATACTGCAAACCCACAGGAGGGTCTCACTGGGAGGGGACTGGGCTGGGCTGGGCTGGTGCTGTTCAGGGAGAATTGTCTGGGTCCTTGTGTGAGGGTTGTGTGAGTTGAGTCCGAGTATGATACCTAAAATCACAACCTTCCTGTAAAAGAAAGCTTACGAGGTTGCTAGCTTCTACTCTAAATGATTGCTTCTATGATTGATGTCATGCTGCTGCAGAATAGCCAGGTAGGTGCTATGTCTAGTTCATCTCTCTCTTCTCCCTGCAGAAATGGGCTTTGCGGTCACAGCCATCTCCCGGACACCAGGGGTGACCTACAGCGATTCCTTTGACTTGCAGTGCATCATCAAACCCCATTACCCAGCCCGGGTCCCTGTGTCAGTGACATGGAGGTTCCAGCCGGTGGGCACTGTTGAGTTCCATGATCTGGTGACCTTCACACGGGATGGAGGGGTCCAGTGGGGGGACAGGTCATCCACTTTCCGAACTCGGACTGCCATTGAGAAGGCCGAGTCCAGCAACAATGTCCGCTTGAGCATCAGCCGGGCCAGTGACACGGAGGCTGGCAAGTATCAGTGTGTGGCAGAGCTGTGGAGGAGGAACTACAACAACACCTGGACACGGCTGGCAGAAAGGACCTCCAACCTGCTGGAGATTCGAGTGCTGCAGCCAGGTGGGTACTGCTGGCTCCAGGGCCTTTCCCTGTGGGACCCGTGGGTTATGTGTTTATGTGACCTGGTGAGACACTGTAGATGTGTGCTTACATGATATCATAAGTCCTGAGTGCTCTTACATGACATCTTGAGACCTGAGGGAGTGTTCTTAAATGACATCATGAGGGAATATTATTACATGGCAGAATAAGACATGAGAGAGTGTTCTTATATGATGGGACACGTGAGGGTGTGTTCTTACATGACAGACATGAGATGTGTGGATGTGCACTTGAATGCCATAAGACATGAGGATATGTGCTTACTGACATTATATGGGGATGTGTGCTTGCATGACTGAGAGACACAAAGAGGGAAAGGAAAGTGTAAGCTGAGCCCTGGCACAGCATCTGCTTCCTGACTCTGAGAAACTGCAAGACAGAAGTTGCTAGAATTGTGCATTGCTTCCCTGTGTTCCCTGTCCTTGGTGGATGGTTGTTAATGCCTTACCATGCTTGTTTTCTCTCTTCTGTGTTTTGTTTTATTAACCATTTCAAGGTAAATAGAGCATACTAGGATACTTCCTAAATGTTCTGGGACATGACCCCAAAAAACAGGGCATTGTCCTACCCAACCACAGCACTATTATCATACTCTGTGAATTTAGCATTAGCACACAGTCTCATTACCCATAATTCCCCAATTCTCCCAGCAATGCCCTTTATAGTGTTTTTTTGTTTTGTTTTAACTCCTAACCAGGCTTCAGTTAGGGATCATGCAGCACATTTAGCAGAACTATCTCTTTACACTCCTTTAACCTAGAACAATTCCCTAGCCTCTGGGTATATATTTGTACAAGACTCAGGGATCATTATGGAAGAGGAGGTGTAAGAGCCAGAGGTGGTGGATGGCTGTAAGGAAACTGTTTTCTGGGCATAACAGGGTAGTTACACACAGCTGGTGATAGCATGCACAAGACCTGCACACACCAAGCCAGACAGAAACCCAGCGTGGATGGGGGAGGTGTGCAAGTAGCCCCGCTGTTGGTAACTGGGATAGCTGATAGCTGCTGGGAGACAGAGAGTCAGTTTTCTTTAAGGGTGTGATGCTGGGTAGGTTGACCAGGGGAGGCAGAGGTAGGTGGATCTCTGTGAGATTGAGACCAACCCGGTCTACATAGTGAATTCCAGGCCAGCTAGGGGTACAGGGAGACCCTGTCTCAAAAAAAGAAAAAAGAAATAGAGAGGACATGAAGTTGGGCATATACTAACAGGGTAGAGATGGGGGGCGGTGTCAGAATGTGGTCAAAATACAGTGTATGAGATTCTCAAAGAATCAACAAAAAATGTTTTTTAAAGGGAAAAAAGTGGACAGGAGCCAGGTATGGTGGTGCATTTATTTAATCCCAGCACTTGGTAGGTAGAGGAAGATGGCTTTCTGTGAGTTTGAGGCCAGCCTGGTCTACATAGCGAGTGCCAGGCCATCCAGGGCTACATAGTGAGACCCTTTTTTTAAAAGGGAAAAAAGGAGGAGGAGGGGAGGAGGAGGGGAGGAGGAGGTGGGGCAGGTCATCTGTTCTGAAGAAAGTTCCAGCTCTTTCACCTCATCTCTTACAATCCTTGCAACAACTCTGAGAGTTAAGTTTCATTGTCCCGCTTATAGACAAGGGAGCTCCAAGGAGACAGGAAAGACTGTGAACTGTTGAACTTCTTTGCCCTAAAGGAGAAAGATCCGTTATTTGATTAGAATTCCACAACCCCAGGGAGGATTAAAGGACTAGCCTAAAGCCACTGCAGCTGGTCCCTAGAGGAGCCTTTGTGGTCGTCTTGTCCTCGTCTTCCCTCGACACATGTCCTGTCACATGGGCTGAGTGGAATCCTTGCTCTTTTGGAAGCCAAGTAGCTCTCAAATCAGTAGATAAAAAAGGAACTAATTTGGGGGAACACTCTGCAATGGGGTTTTCTTCAGATGCCTTCATCAGGACTTTCTCTGGCAGGAGGAACAGTTCAGTGTGTGCTGCTCTTTGGTTTTTCCCTGTATCTGTTCTTGTGGCCTGCTAGGTTGGAAGCTGCTAGAACAGGAAGCCCAGTCTAGGCTCTACCCCTTCTGCCGCTGAGCCCACACATTGTATAGAAAAGACACCTCCACAGCCAATGGTGATGGTTGGACTTCACAAATAATTTTTTCTGACTTTCTGACACACTCACTTTGTAAAGATGATTTGAACCCCTTTTAAAAGAAAACTTTTCCCCCCACTAACAGTTATGATTCATGACCAGTCTGGTCATTTCAGATGGTCCACAGTGCTGTTTTCAGCAGTGTGAGGTTAAATAGCAATAATGTCTGAGTTTATCCTTCCCCTCGTCTGACCCCATCACAGAGGCCTGTTGTGTACCACATTTGGAACAAGTGAATTTTATAAGTGATGAGAGTATGTCTGGTCAATTAGAACTGAACCTGGGCTGACAGAATGCTGGGAAAAAGGCTGTTCTTAAGTGGATGTTCAGGTTAATGGAGGGTTAAGTAGAGACCCCATTTGATGTGGGAACTTGTGGAAGATGTGGAGCACCCACTTGCTGCTTTATGGAGTAAAGCACTGGGATGACAATTGTGCATTTTGTTGCCTCTTCTGTCACTCAAGGTCAGTGCTCTGAGCAGCAGTGTCTGTTTGGCAGACAGCTTGGTTTGGCAGCTTGGGAGGGTAAAAGAGACACTGACCCCTGGACCTTGCCTGTCTTTGCCTCTTTAAATAAATCTTTAGTATTTACTTGTTTCTGTGACCACTTGGAACCTAAGATTAGAGTGCCCAGAAGACCAATGTGGAATTAATTCATTGAAGGCTCTCCTCAGCATTTGGATTCTGATTTGGGTACCATATGTTAGGAGACAGAATGGGTGAAGCCCTTCCTGAGCACTAGTCTTTTTGCTCATAGTTATGTTTTCTTATTCTTTAAAGTTTTTTGCATTTATTTATTTTGTGTCTGTGCTCATGCACATGTGTCACCACATGTGTGTAGAGGTTGGGGGACAACCTGAGAGAAGTCAGTTCTCTCCTTCCACCATGTGAGTCCCAGGGATTGAACTCAGGTCTTCAGGCTTGGTAGCAAGTGCCTTTACCCACTGAGCTATCTTGCCAGCTCGGTGTTATCTTTTAAAATTCCTCCGACAGTCTGAGAGTATAGATGCCAGTGTTCCCATTTTGCTAAAGAGTAAGCCAAGGCTGGTTGAGCTCAGGAACCTTCATGAATGCTAGTTAATGGCAGAGCTGAGACTCACTAGGCTAGAGCCTAGATCTCCCTGACTTCATACATCTACACTGTCCATTATACCATTTTATCGCATGTGGTCACTGGAGAGTTAGGGAATCGAGCACTGCTCTGAGGACTGTCTTCATGTCTCGTGTACATGGGATGGAGGGATCCAGTCCGGGGACAGCTTCCACCTTTTAACTAAGACTGGCATTGAGAAGGTTGAGTCCAGAACAGTCCTTGCCTGAGCCTCTGCCTGACCACTGAGATTGGTTTCATTGGGAAGTGGTACAAGCAGTGGCTGACGTTAAGCATCTCTGGACTGGGTGGGCACAAGGCCTCTGCTTAAAGGTATATGTAATGTACTTCCTGGTCCTCTGGATGCTAGAGAGAGCAAAGGTAGGTGCCTGAGGCAGCTAGGACTCCCTGAGCGGCTGAGGCACCAGGGAGAGTGCCTCCCCTAAGTGTTACCATTTCTGCTTTATCAATTATTTATTCACTTAGCACTTAATATTTTCCAAAGAGCTTTTCCCTAAATGCATTGGCTGGTATAGGCGCTTTCATTGGGGGTAGACATGGAGAACAGCATAAGGGCTGACTTGTACTGGAGACAGTGTGGAGTACTTGGCCTGTGTGGTCTCACTGAGCCTTTGCAAAGCAGCAATGCTGGGAGGAAGGCATTGCATTCCCATTTGATGGCAAGTGAATAGCTCCTGTCAGTTCAGTGTGAGTGGGAGGGAAGTTGGGATTTGAACCCAGGTGTGCCTTCATGAAAAGCCCTTGTGAAGAGACTTTGCCCTTTTTTGAGGCCATGTAATCACATCTTATTCCTTCTGCATTCAGCCCATGGCATGCTTTGTGGAAGAGATTTCTCCTTCCAGGTCCCTGGCATGGAGGAGCCTCAGTCCTGGTGGATTAGTAATAACAGTAGCAACATCAGTGACAGCTGACACAGCATTTCTTGCGTGGCTGACACCATTGTGAACGCCTTACATCGGATAACTTATTGGATCTTCTTTAATCCATGCAGGGCTTTGAGAGGGTGCTACCTCACCCAGTTTACAGATGAGGGTACTGCCACCCAGGGCAAATGAGCTGCCCAGTGATGGATAATAAGTGGCAGAGCCAAGATTCAAGACTAGATAAGCAGTCTGGCCCTAGAGTCTGAATTCTTAATTTTATTATATTATGTACTTTCTAGAAAACGAGCTATATTTTTACTTGTTTCCTTCTCCCTCAGGCATCTTTTGGTACTGTGTGTGTGTGTGTTGCACTAGGCATGGAACTCGAGGCCTTGTGCATGCTAAGCAAGCACTCTACCTACAAGCTAGACCCCAGCATCATGTACTTTTACCAGTGTCTTCTCTCTCTGGTTTGCTGTCCAGATTTCCCAGTCCTTCTGTTTGTTTTTTAGCATTAAGGTCACAAGGAACTCACAGAGCTTCCTCAAGGCCTGGGTGTTAAAGATGTGTGCCTTTGAGTTCCCTTATTTCTTCTAACTCCTGCCACAAGGTGGATGTAGGACCTGGAGAGACCAGAGCCCCAAACCAGTGCCAGCCTCATTCCTCCGACCCTCCCTGCAATGCTTTCCTCTTCAATCCTGGGTTCTTAGCCCTGCTCTAGCATCCTCCAGAGAAACTTCGTCTCTTCCCCCTCCCCCACTCCCCTTTAAAGAATATTTTGGTGAGCCGGGCGTGGTAGTTTGTACCTTTCTTTAATCCCAGCCCTCAGGAGGCAGAGGCAGATGGAGCTCTGTGAGATCAAGGCCAGCC